ACAAACTTGACCCACTGGTCTACAACTCTACATTCCACCAGGATACCCACCAAACCACAGGTCCCAGGGAGGGAAGTTCTGTTCAACGTAAAAACTAAACCAAACCGAACATTTTTTTTTCCAGTGGGTTTGCCAGAAATAGGAAAACGCGGATTTAGAAGATGTGCTTCTCTTTGTCCCTTATCATCTCTAAGATCATTGGTTCAGTTTCCTCATGTACAGAATGGGATTCCCGATAGCAGCCACCTTGCAGGGTTCTGCAGAGATTGCTAATGAGTTGCTGATGGGGAAACACTTTACAGCAATAGGCTTTAAAGTTATATATGGCATGTACCAGGGATCTTCACCATGAGGGGTCTTTAAATGTAGATGAGCTAATTCTTTTACTTAGCCAAATATCCTGGCCAGGTATGGTGGCTCACACCTGTAATCCCAGCAGCTTCGGAGGCTGAGGTGGGTGGATCACTTGAGGCCAGGAGTTTGAGAACAGCCTGACAACATGTCGAAACCCCATCTCTACTAAAAATACAAAACTTAGCTGGGTGTGGTGGTTCTTACCTGTAGTCCCAGCTACTTAGGAGGATGAGGCATGAAAATCACTTGAAACCAGAGTGGAGGTTGCAGTGGGCCATGATCGCACCACTGCACTCCAGCCTAGGCAACAGGGTGAGATTCCATCTCAATCAATCAATCAGTCAATCAACAAATACCCTAAGGAACACAGCCTTGCTTTCTACCATCTGCTTAGATTAACCACAAACAAGAGCAATCATTACAGATTAGGGGAAAGTCACCTGAACAAAAAGGGTCTGTGAGTAATAAACAGCTGTCTTTGAAGCTTCCCCTTTGTCTACCCTAACAAGAGCCTCTTAAAATGTGACCATGCAGCCCAGAAGATTCATCCATTCCCTGCTTAGTCTGTAGTTGAGTATAGCTGTGCTCTCCCCAGGCCCTGCACCCAAAATTTGAAATGCTGCTGGAATAATCAGTCATTTAAAAAAGCTATGAAATATAAAACAAAGTAAGACTCACAGCCTCCAATAACGGCCTTTAAAAAAAAAAAAAACCTTTGCAAGTTTAAACAGATCAATTCTGTTCCCACTGGGTAAAAGGCAGCTCTTTGTCCACCACACTTACTATATCACTCAAAAATGTACAAGCTTCTAGGGCAGCCTCGAGTCACAGACGCAGAGAACATCTCCCCAAGATGTGGCTCTGCTCCTCAATAGGAAGTACTGGGCTTGCAGACTGCCTCCTCTCTTCCTGACACACAGGCACGCTCATACACACCAGAGTCAAGGCTCAGAAACTGTTCTGGCAACAGGGCATCAAGAGTTCAGTCTTTGCTGCAGTTCTTAAGCGCTAGAGGCTGGGGTGAGGGCAAGAGGCTTTGCATGTCCCTGCAAGGGCTCTGGGACATGTTCAATGGCTGTAGAGCCCTGTGATGGCTGTGACCTATGGCTGAATGCCAGAACCTCTACATCTGTGGTTTTGAACTTTCATTCTACCTCCTTCCAATGCACCTTGCTCAAATCTTCTTATCCAGACAGCGTTCTCACCTTCCATTGATTAAAAGCCCCAGTGAACATGTGGTTTCTTTAACTTTCCTACAAACAGGTAGTGCTACAGCCTGGTCTCATCTGAGCGCCTTTCAGATGTCAGCATTCCCGAAGGGTTCTCAAAACGATTTTCTATTGTGTGCAGTGAGTTCATAAAAGGTGTCAGATGAGCTGAAAGCAGCTTAGCCACTCGAAGAGTCCATGCATGTATGGCGCAAATGTTGTAGGACTCAATAAATACATTCGAGTCATGCTCATCCTGGCCTGACTTGTTCCCAGCACACAATTTCAGTGTGGTGACTGGTGTCTTCCTTCAGTTTTATGAGAGGTCTTGGAATCCTCCCAGTTTTAAGGGAAGTCTCCCTGGCTTGAGCCACTCCCACCCGGGCTTTGTGGATCTGAAGATCAGCAGCTATCAGGGCCCTCTTTCCATGTCTCTCCTGTGCTCTCTAAGCTGTGCCCCACTTCCTGCTCCTCCACAGCTGAGATGAGGGTGATGAGGATGATGATGATAATGGCACACAACCGCAAAGGCCAGACCTACAAGGGTGGCCTCCAAAACTTCACTCCAGTCTATTTTCCTTTTATCTTTGGAGTGGTAATTCACAGTGACATGTATCCAGGGACACTAAGGAAGTCCAAGTTGAATTGAATTCATAGAGCCTTTGACTGTTATTCCTATATTTAGAAAGTGTTTCTGCAGCAGAAGAAATTACCTAGCCTGGGAAGATGCCAGCTCACACTTAGCATTAGTCCTTAGATTCCTGGGGAGATGCTGGTTGCTACTTTGTAGCTGTGTGTCGGTATGTCAGACTCACCTCATCAATTTTCCCCAACCACAAACACTGCATTTAGAAATCGAGATTACTGTATTTTATTGCCTGCGCTACAAGCATAAAACAATGGATTTCAGTTTTCTGTCTTGAACCCTGTATCATGATTTAAAGCAGCACATAATCCTTGCTACATATTATTTCATATTCCGCTTGTGGTGACAGTGGTGTAGACTATTTAGGAGTATAAAATATAGATTTAGGATACTTTTTCTATCTAGCATATTATGAAATTCTAAATAAGAAAGAGTAACATACTAGGTTTCATGGAGATGATCAGACTGTTATCTCACTATCTCATTCACTGTCCGCCCTTGCCAGCTTTTTAAGTCATGGTAATGATAAAGTAGTGAGGAGAGAAAAGAGGAAGAATTTTGGTCACTTTCAAAGGAGAAAACTACATCTGGTCTACCGCACGGGGCTTAGTGCCAGTTTCTATGCCTTAAGTGTAGATTTAAGCTATTTTTTGTGATGGAGTTTTGCTCTTGTTGCCCAGGCTGGAGTGCAATGGTGCAGTCTTGGCTCACTGCAGCCTCTGCCTCCCGGGTTCAAGCGATTTTCCTGCCTCAGCCTCCCAAGTACCTGGGATTACAGGCACACTCCACCATGCCTGGCTAATTTTTTTTATATTTTTAGTAGAGACGGGGTTTCGCCATGTTGGTCAGGCTGGTCTCCAACTCCTGACCTCAGGTGATCCGCCCGCCTCAGCCTCCCAAAGTGTTAGGGTTACAGCTGTGAGCCACTGCGCCTGGCCTACTAGGTGCTTTAACCTTAAACTCTTCTGATTCCCAGGCTGTGGATGTTAAGGAAAAGAAAGCAGTGAAGCTACTTCGCCAGCTTTATGCAAGTTAATGTGCTCTTCAGGACTCACTTGTAGACATTCTGCAGCAACCTTACTAAACTCCTAAAACCGAGAGATGCGGAACAAGTGTTCATTTTTAAGAATATGGCATACTGATTAGCAATTAATCCACACAAATAAGTCACAAACCTCATAACAACCCCTTGAATGATGGACTGCATATGAGACTGTGCGTCTATAAGCTTATAATACCGTATTTTATTCTACCTTTTCTATGCACAAATACCACTGGGTTACAACTGCTGCAGCATTCAGTAACAGTAACATACTGTACAGGTTTGTAGTCAGGGAGCAATAGGCTCTACCATCTGGGTTTGGATGACTTCATGATGGCCACACAATGACAAAATTGCCTGACATATTCCTCAGAATGTAATCCCATTGTTAAATGTATGACTGTACATTCAAGCTAATTTGGATTCTACAGATGCTAGTTTTAAATTGCTACTGATATACACACACACGTGCTCACATTTACGTTTACAACACACCTACTATTCCTGTCTCATTGGCATGTGCAGGACATGCACACGGGCTTCATGAATATATTATAAATAGGATAAACACCATCCAGGTCCAAGATTTAAAACAGGTGGCCCAGGACTGAGATGGAGTCATTGGGCTGAATTCAGTCCACAAATACATATTTTTGCCTATCTCATTTTTTTAAAGGGTCTCATTTAAAAAATGTGCAGTGGCACAATTATAGCTCACTGTAGCCTTGACCTCTGGGGCTCAAGGGATCCTCCTACCTTAGCCTCCCAAGTAGCTGGGACTACAAGTGCATGCCACTGTGCCAATTTTTTTTTTTGAGACAGAGTCTCACTTTGTTGACAGGCTGGAGTGCTGTGGCATGATCTCGGCTCACTGAAACCTCAGCCTTCCAGGTTCAAGTGAGTCTCCAGCCTCAGTTTCCCAAGTAGCTAGGACTACAGGCGTGCGACACCACGCCCAGCTAATTTTTGTATTTTTAGTAGAGATGGGGTTTCACCATGTTGGCCAGGATCTCTTGACCTTGTGATCCGCCTGCCTTGGCCTCCCAAAGTGCTGGGATTATAGGTGGGAGCTGCCGTACCTAACCTCAATTTTTATGAATTTGTTTTGTCAACCTGGTGTCTGTGTTGCCTAGGCTGGGCTCAGACACCTGGGCTCAAGTGATCTTCCACTCTGGCCTTCCAGATTTCTGGGATTATAGGTGTGAGCCACTGCGCCAGTCCTATAAGGTCTCAAAAATAGAAACTCTCATTTTAAAAATCCAGATTCTTTTCTTCAGAAGAGCTAACAAATTAGTCCTTCCTTTTTCGCAAAACAACAGGGGGTTGAAGCTGAACAGTGATGGCCTCTTGATGCAAGGGTGGACTTTTCATCTTGGCCCTGTTCCCAACACTCCCTATTCATCTCCTCACTGTCAGCTTCACTTCAGTGCAGTATCTATCTGTCCCCACATGCATTTGGGGTCATGGTCCCTTTTGTAGGTAAACCCACTTGACTCTTCTCCTAGTGATGGATTGAATTCTGTCTTCTGAAAACTTCTAGGTTGAAATCCTAATCCCAGAACCTCAGACTGTCCCCTTATTGAGACAGGGTCTTTATAGGGATAATCATGTTAAAATGAGGTCATTAGGGTAGGGCGGTGGGTCCTAATCCAGCGTGACTGGTGTCCTTATAGAAAGGGGAAATCTGAGCACAGAGATACACATATAGGGAGAGAATCAGGCAGAGATGAAGGCAGAGACTGAGGTGATGCAACCACAGCCAAGGAAGGCCAAAGACTCCCAGCAAATACCAGAGGCTGGGAGAGACACCCAGAACAGATGCTCCCTGGCAACCCTCAGAAGGAACCAACTCTGCTGACACCTGGATCTCAGACTTCCAGCCTCTAGAACTCCGAGACAATGCATTTCTGTTGTGTATGCCACTTGATTTATGGCACTCTGTTACGGCAGCCCCAGCAAATGAATACACCAAGTAGCTGAAATTAAGTCAGTATCTTCCTTTGATCATTGGGAAGACTCACAGGTGAGTGGTCTGTATTATTGGTATGTCTAGCTTAGGAAAAGGACATCACAAGGAGAAATGCTCTTTCCCAAACCAAGTGGCCAGGCTTACATAGAGAGGCACCCAGTTAGAAGTGGGGGGTCTGCTGGGTCCAGCTCAGGTGATGAAAAAATTCTGGTCAACTCTGACTGCAAAAAAAAAAAATTCTCATAGTTCATTCCTGAGTAGGAAGGTGATATTTGAAGGGTGAAGGGATATTTTAGGGGAAGGAGTATGTCAGGAAGGTAGACAGCCCAAATCCTCATTTACTCCTGGGCCCACTTTAGATGATAAACTCCTGGGTATATGGTGAGGCATTTTCCATTTTTTTGCAGGATTTTTCTCTCATCTGATCCAGACAACAGACAGGGTACTGGTGAGGACAGAGGACCTCAGTAGGAGAGGACTGGCCCAGCTGGCTGTTCCCTAGGTGAGGTCCCAAGTACACTGACTGTTGACTGACCACAAACAGGTCATGTTTTGGAGTCTTAGTCCTTCCTTTAAAAATGAGTAGCCCTAGCAACTTACTGAATGACCCACTTTTTATAGGATGTTTCAGAATCAAAAGCATGGCTTGTTAGGCATCAGGTTTCTCTTTAGTTCCAGAACACCCCATTCCTAGTAATCCTAAGCTCCAACCCCTAGGGGGTTCACCTCACCAGTCAGTCAGTGCCACAGGCTGGAACACGGAGAAGGGCTGACTCTGGCTGATCACGAGGTCATCTTGGCATGGCACCCTAATTGTAAACTTTGAGAAGCATGGCTCCATGTCTAATTTTTTAATACTGACTTTTTGGGGGTAGTATGTTCAATTCTATTTCAAATAAACAAAATGGAGCTGTGAGAGGACATCACTCTTGTGGGAATAAAAAGCTTGGTAAATGAACAGAACTAGCAGTGGATCTGATGGCTAAGATCCCATAGTCAGGCCATCTCCTAGGGTTCAGGATGTGGAACTGCAAGAGGAGATCTAGAGAGAATGCAGAATGGTTTCTCATGGTGGGGTAGGCATGGCGAGGGACTGCCCTGAGGTCTGTGTGTGTCCATTGGAGGTGCAAAGTGCTGCTCATGTAGCACTGAGAAGGGACCCTCAGACCAGGGGACTCTACGAGAACTTCATCAACATGAATCTAAGCACATGTCCCCAAACGTACCATTTCTTTATGCGTAACATACACGTACTCCTGCAATGATACACCATGCACATCACAATCCAGGCACAAATAACCATGTTAAAAAGGATGACATGAAAAGAATGTAAATAGAAACTCCACTGTTTTCACCAGTCACCCTAGTGGATGGCATCATTCACCACCCCTTGGTCCTCTGTGCCATCCTGAAGTCTGAAGTCTGTATACATAAGGAGGAGGAGCCACGTGAACCCTGTTGACCAACATTCATGTTCCTAGGGCAGTCCACACATCTCAAATGGCAGTTGACTGAAAGAGTTATTTATTAAAAAATCCAGATGACCGGGCGCAGTGGCTCACATCTGTAATCACACTTTGGGAGGCTGAGGTGGGCAAGATCATGAGGTCAGCCTAACCAACATGGTGAAACTCTGTCTCTACTAAAAATACAAAAATTAGCTGGGTGTGGTGGCAGGCACCTGTAATCCCAGATACTTGGGAGGCTGAGACAGGAGAATCACTTGAACCTGAAAGATGGAGGTTGCAGTGAGCCAAGATTGCACCACTGCACTCCAGCCTGGGCAACAACAGAGCAAGACTCTGTCTCAAAAAAAAAAAAGAAAAGAAAAGAAAAGAAAAGAAAATCCAGCTGACTTGCTGACTGAGACTTAGTATGCATCTGCCCAATAGCCTCAACAAGTAAACATTTTTGGAAACACAGTAATTTTGGCATTTTTATGTAGAAACTCTGCCTTATGCTGGGAGGTTCTGCAGAAGTTGACATCATTTTACTTGGTGTTTCTGTCTCCCACTGATTATTCTTGGAATGTTGCACACTGTGGCTTTTTCCCTCTTATGTTACTGGAACTGTCAGGCTAAAATTATGTTTTCTATCTCGTGTACTCTATGGGGACCACAGACTTGGCCACATGCTTCTCAAAGAGCTTAAGATTTCCAGTACATTAATAACCAGAGAATGCTGCAGCCCTGTAGCTTCCAAAATACCAACTCTACAGCACATTTCTACATTCTTTTAGTTACTTTTTGTGATCATAAAGCACACATTTTGCACACAGTAATCAGATGACCTAGTCTCATGCCACTAGGGCAAATGACTATGTAGGAAATGACAGAATCAAAACTAGAACGCAAACTCCTGACTCCAGAGAAGCTCGCTCTCTACCACAATCACTTTCTGATTCTCAGATTTCCCCTTCCTTCTTTCCTGGCTTCAGGACGAATGGGTGACTGGAAGCAGAGAGTTGAGCTCTCAGATCTAAAGGGAATAGTCCCCTAAACTCTTTGGGTATGCATCAGTGGTTATGCTACCTTAAGGATGACCCTGAGATAGAGATATGATCTGTCTGCCTGATGTGCTGAGTTCTGTACAACTTTGCCAATTTGCTAGGCATTCCTGACTGTCTCTCCTTTAGGTACAGTCCCTGCAATCTGGCTAGAGCTTCCAAGGGTCTTACCACAAAGAAAGAAACTCCCTAGTTGAAAGAGTAAAGGACAAAGTAGGTTCAGAGGAAGGATGCAGACCATGTCAATGCCTTGAATATGCTGCCTCCTCTACTTGGTCTTTCTGTCCCTAGTTGATGTGCCTTCTCCTGCTAAGGTTTGGTTCTGTGTTCCGCCCCCCCGCAAATCTCACCTTGAATTGTAATCTCCACAATCCCCATGTGTCAAGGGTGGGACCAGGTGGAGGTAACTGAATCATGGGGGCAGTTTCCTTCAGGCTATTCTCGAGATAATAAGCGGGTCTCACAAGATCCGACGGTTGTATAAGCATCTGGTATTTCCTCTGCTTGCACTCATTCTCTCTCCTGACACCCTGTAAGAGGTGCCTCCTGCATGATTGTGAGTTTCCTGAAGCCTCCCTAGATATGTGAAACTGTGAGTCAATCAAACCTCTTTTCTTTATAAATTACCCAGTCTCAGATATTTCTTCCTTGCAGTGAACTGAATAATACATCTGCCATCAGCTGTAATGAAAGAGGGCTGGGAACAATGTATACTGTGGTAAACCTTCAGTGGATGCTACAAATTCCAAGCAGTATTTAAGAATCCTTCTAAGATGAAGATTTGGGAAAGGGCTGGTTTACCTGGATACGATTTCAGATGCAAAATTTCTTTCAGGGCATGGATGGTTTACGTCTCTTCCCACCTCTGGGTTTTGTGGCTGCCTTTGCCAGCCAGTCATGGTGGTGGCTTGTGGATATGTATTCAGGCAGGAGAGGCTGGGATTCTATTTCTAGGAGTATGTTTTGGGACAATGGTGCCCTTTTTTTACTGTGTTAGTCTAAACCAGGTGCAAGGACCTCACAGCGAACAAGCAGGCAGCCAGCCTCACAAGCTGACTTCCTACGCTTCCCATCTCGCTCTCATATGTGCCACAGAAGAGGTCACCCAGGCAGCCAGATGCTCTGGCATCTCACTCCCATTTGTAGAGAAATCATCATTTGCCCCTCACATACCTGGGGCTCTGCTTGCACTGTAGCAGAGCCGGAGGAATGGGAAGTAAAGGGAAGGAGCTATGACAAGATCTGCTCCTTCTCTTTTCCTAATCCCCTGAAGAATAATACATGAACTTGAATGAGCTGGGTCAGGAATAGTCCAGAACACCCACCCACCCACCCCAACCACCCTCAGAACTAAGATCTGGTTCTATGTAACCTGAGAGAGATGGGGGAGGCTGGAATCATTGTCTTCAAGTATGCCAAAGCATGCCATGTTATGGGGCATGAGGGTACAGAAAAAACAGAGTAAGACCAGTGACTGGGAATGGCATGGACAGATTTCAGTCCAATATTGGAAGAATGTTTAACAATAAGGCTCTCCAACAATGGGACAGGCTCTCTCAAGAGTGGTAACTATCACTGAGGTATTTAAAAGAGAAGGCCATGTTACTTCAGTCAATGAAAGTGTGTGTGTGTGTGTGTGTGTGTGTGTGTGTGTGTGTGGCAGGTGGTTAGATGTTTTCTAGGACTCTAAAGACTACCTAACACTAGATCCAGTCATCCATCAGGTTGACTGTTTACAAAAGCCCTGTACCATTACAACATCCTCCAAGAGGAAACCAAGTTAATTTTGAAAAAGAAGCTGTTCTGGCCAGGTGCGGTAGCTCATGCCTGTAATCCCAGCACTTTGGGAGGCCAAGGCAGGTGGATTACCTAAGGTCAGGAGTTCAAGACCAGCCTTGTCAACATGGTGAAACCCCATTTCTACTAAAAAAAAAAAAAAATTATCCAGGCATGGTGGTGTGTGCCTGTAATCCCAGCTACTTGGCAGGAGAATCACTTGAACTGGGTGGTGGAGGCTGCAGTGAGCTGAGATTGCACCATTGCACTCCAGCGTGGGCCACAAGAACAAAACTCCATCTCAAAAAAAAAAGCTGTTCTTAAATAACAAAATAAATCAGGTGGGAGGGAAGAATACTGGCATACTGTTGGATGAGGCCTATGTCTACACAACCTCTATGTACCACCTTCCTCACCTGTACAATGCAAAGGTGATAGTAACAGCAGGTAACTGATTGCTTGCTATGGGCCAGATCTACTAACTTGCTTAATTTTCACAACTCACTATTTTATATACACAGAAACACAGGTAAGGAGAGTAAGTGATTTACTTAAGGCCATACAGCTAGGAAGAGGGAGAGTCAGAATTAAGCCCTGGTAGACTTCCACACATTATGTCTAGACACTCACCAGACACCACCAGTGTCTGGGGCAAAGGGCTCAAGAGAGAATTCTAGAGCTCTGCTGTGTGACATTATGTAAGATAATCAAAGTTCTCTATGCCTGGTGTTCTCATCTGTAAAATGGGTATACAAATGTGTATCTTACAGAGAGGCTCAAAGAGAAATGATTTAATACATGGAAAATGTTCAGAGAATGGTGGCAAATAATAAGTACTCAACAAAGGTTACCTAATGTCAAATAAACATGCCTGTGATTACAAATAGATATATAGATGGTTAATATCTTAATATAACATAAAGCTATGCCTATCTCTGTAACATCCATATGAAAAGGGCAATCACTCAAAAAGAGTACCAGTGGAGTAATGAGGCATCACTACCAACCACTTAACCATATAGCAGAGAGTGTGTTTATCTTACTGCTTTGTGCTTAATCAAACTATACCTTATCTTTCCATAGGTCCTCAATTCTATTACATGGTGGAGGTCTTCTTTTCTCTCTCTCTCTCTCTCTCTCTCTCTCATTCAGTTTTTGAGATAGGGTCTTGCTCTGTTACCTGGGCTGGAGTGTGGTGGCACAATTGATGGCTCACTGCAGCCTTGACCTCCTGGGCTCAAGCTATCCTCCTGCCTCAACCTCCCATGTAGCTGGGACCACAGGCATGTGCCACCACATCTAGCTAATTTTTGATTTTGTGTAGAGACGAGGTCTTACTTTGTTGCTCAGGCTGGTCTTGAACTCCTGAGCTGAAACAATCTCCTGCCTCAGCCACCCAATGTGTTAGGACTACAGGTGTGAGCCAACATGCCTGGTCAGATGATGGAGACTTTTCTATAGATGACTGTTTTCCCTAGAAACCTGCCTCTCAGTTTCTCCCTGAACCTTGAGTCAAGTAAGTTTTCCAAGATTTGGCTAAATGAAGGAAAGGGCACTATAGAAACAACCTTGGAGACAACTTGGGACATTTTCCATTGTCTCTTCCTTTTTTTTCTTTTTTGAGACAGTCTTGCTCTACCATCCAGGCTAGAGTACAATGGCATCATCTCTGCTCATTGCAACCTATGCCCCCTGCTTCAAGCGATTCTCCCTGCCTCAGCCTCCTGAGTAGCTGGAATTACAGGTGCCCAGCACCACACCTGGCTAATTTTTGTATTTTTAGTAGAGACGGGGTTTTGCCATGTTGGCCAAACTGGTCTTGAACTCCTGACCTTAGGTGAACCATCTGCCTTGGCCTCCCAAAGTGCTGGGATTACTGGCATGAACCACTGCACCCAGCTGAGACTGAATTCTTTTGCTAGAATCTGGAGAGCTAAAGGCCCACTGCCAGGGAGGCAGAAGGTACTACTGTCCTACCTGGTGAGCTTGGTGCCAATCTGTTGCCTCAGCTCCAGCCGCTCCTCATCTGTCTGCCTGGGAAGGATGTTCTTTTCTTCCAGCTCTCGCTTGGAGGGCCTGTTGCTGAGTTTGATGGCTAAGGAGTCCTTCCTGCAGACCTTCATGGCCAGGGAGCCTGCGAGAGAGAGAAATGAGTCACTTAAGCCTGACACACATGTGCCTGTCTGACACACACACACACACACGGCCAACCTGGACCATAAAATACACAGCAGGAAGGAATTCATCAAGGCTTTAACACCCGAGAGTGGTTAAGGCCTCAGTTCCTAGAGTTCCTGCCATTGCCACACACTCTACCCCTAGTACTGTGTGGGGCACATGGAGAGCACACGGGGGGCCTGTGATTGGATCCCTGCTCTCCAGGAACACCAGCGTGCAGACATCACCACAAAGAAGGGCAGGACTGGCCATGGGTTGCAACAGATTGCAGAGGGGGAGACAGGACAGAGGCCGTTAGCAACTAGGGGAGGTTTCACGAGGAGGAGGGGCTGACACCTGAGGCAGAGATGAGTGTCCAACAGGCAGCAGGTGGGTGGGGATCTGTGTCTGCAAAAGTGCAGTGGTGAAGGCTACACCAAAAATCTCAAGAGACAGAAAAGACCAACTACACTGGAGCTGGGGGGGACGTGGAGGAGAAAAAAAGGTAGGTGGACAAAGTGAGGCTGGTTGGGGGTGGGAGTGGAGGTGAGGGCTTTGAAACAGGCAATATCCTGGGATATTTATTTTTTTCTTCTTAACCCCAGCGTTTCTGAGCAGCAGAGGCAGGGCTTCCCTACATCTGGTATAAATCAGTGCTTCTCAACCAGCGGTGATTTTGCTCCCCAGGGGACACCTGGCAAAATCTCAAGGCATTTCTGGTTGTCAAAACTAAGGTGGCAGGCAGAAGGTGTTACTGGCATCTAGCAGACAGAGGCCAGGGATGCCTGTAGACATCACAGTGCCTAGGACAGCTCCGCACCAAAGAGTTATCTGGTCCCCAATGCTGGCAGTGGCGAAGTCAAGAAACCCCAGTATAAAACATTCATTTCTCTGGATGCTAAACAGCAAACAGGGGCTGAGCAGGGGCTCCTTCCACTCATGGGTCATTGAGGTCTTTGCTGTCCTGTGTGGTTCTTTCCTCAACATTTGGATCCCTTCAATAGCTCCCAAGGTCTTACATGGAACCAGCTATTTGAAGCCTGGTAAGTAGGGAGCAAGAGAAAACTCTAGCGGGCAAGAAGTCTCGGGGTGTCTTCGGGTTTTATCAAGTAGTGCTTTTCTTCTTTCTTCCGCCGCTGGTTTTAGAACATGAACTTTGGAATGTGACACAGCCAGCATCAAACCCCAGCGTTGCCTCTTGGCGGAGGGGAGGCTCTGGGCTGGTGCCTGGCTTCTCTATTTTCTGCCCTTATCTGTAAAATGGAGGCAAGAGTGTCCACACCTCAGGGTTGCTGTGAGACGTAGGTGAGAGATTAAGATCCCAGCCCATTGTCGGGCACACGGTACATGTTCCACGCATGGTTGCTAATCTCACAAGTTCATTTATTAAAAAGTTGGCCAAATATCAGGCTGTACTCACATAACTAAAATTTATTTACTGTTCATGGCCACAGTGATAGGTTTTGAACTTTGCTTTCTCCATTTCTTCTCTTGTCTCTTAGCGCCTTTAAAGGTCATAAATAAGAAATTTAAATTGAGACCTTCTAAAGTTGCTGATGCTTAAAAAGTGAATTTGTTGCATACACAGTGGGTAGTATTTGAGTGTTTGCCTGACAGGAACAGATGTTGAAGCTTTTAAAACTTTTTTTTTTTTCTTATTAGGGAAGTTGCATCCCAAGGGAAGCAATAAAGAAAGAGCCATCTAAAGAGGTAAGAGGTGGCATTTTACAAAGCCCTGCACCTGCAATTTCTAGAGCTAGGAGGGCATTTAGAGGATATTTACCATCTCCTCTTACTGATGTAGGAACTGAGGCCCCAAGAGGTAGACTGAGCTGCCCTATGACCCAGGACCAGTCAACACCAGAGCGGGGATTAGAACCCAAACTGCTGGGGTGCTCGGTCTGCTCTCTGCTGTCTTTCCACAAGAGCATGCTTCCCCACCCCTGGTGAAGACTTAAGAGGAACGCACTGGTGTATAATGAGCTGTCATCGTCTTCGTCCTCCTCCTCTTCCTCCTCTTCTCTTGTGTACAGGCAAGAAGAGTCTTCGTAGTCTGACTCGTGAGGCACATTTTCCTTATTGTCATCACATTCAATCACAACAGTTGGCACTTGTCGTATTTCTGGAAGGCCCATAGGTCCTGCTTTGGTGACCCCGTCACCCGAGTGCAACCCAGAGCTGTGGTAAGAAGTGGAACAGGGGACCCGCTGCTCAGAGCTGTTTAAAGACAAGGAAGAAAGAGGAAATTCATTTTGGCTAACACGCCATATAAATGCATCAAAACCATTTTAAAACCCAGTTGCCTTCAGTTTTAAACCATTTTAAAACACAGACTTCATGAATATACTAGAAATAGGATAAAATACACCACCCAGGTCCAAGATTTAAAACAGGTGGCCCAGGACAGAGATGGAGGAATTGGGCTGAATTCAGTCCACAAATATATATTTTTGCCTATCTCATTGTTTTCAAAGAAGGATTTCATTCTGTTGCTCAGACTAGAGTGCAGTGGAACAATTACAGCTCACTGGAGCCTCGATCTCCTGGGCTCAAGGGATCCTCCTACCTTAGCCTCCCAAATAGCTGGGACTACAGGTACATGCCACTGTGCCCAGTTAATTTTAATAGTTAATAAACTTGCCCAGTAGACCCTAAGAGACAAAGGGTCTACTGGGCAAGTAAAGTCCCATTGCTCATCTTACAGGGAATTGTTTTAAGATGGCATGGTTTCCTGATGGGAATAGTGGCGTGGGATAGAAAATAATAAATCTAACTCCCTGTGGGTGGTGGAGATGGTTGCACGACAATGTGAATGTATTTAATGCCATCGAACTGAATGCTTTAGAATGGTTAAGATGGTAAATTTTATGTTATCTGTATTTACCATAATTTAAAAAAATTAAAGATAAGGGCAAAGGATTAATTTGATAGTGAAGTTATTCAGGACAGAAAGATGATAATTGAGGTTCTAGTTTTCTAAAGCTACAGAGGGCAACTATATGATAGACTATTTTTAGTTTATTATACTTTAAGTTCTGAGGTACATGTGTAGATCATGCACGTTTGTTACACAGGTATCCATGTGCCATAGTGGTGGTTTGCTGCATCCATTGCCCCCTTATCTACATTAGGTATTTCTCCTAATGCTATCCCTCCCTGTTCCCCCCACCCCTAGGCCCCGGTGTGTGATGTTCCCTTCCGTGTCCATGTGTTCTCATTGTTCAACACCCACTTATGAGTGGGAACATGCCATGTTTGGTTTTCTGTTCTTGTGTCAGTTTGCTGAGAATTATGGTTTCCAGTTTCATCCATGTCCCTGCAAAGGACGTGAACTCATCCTTTTTACGGCTGCATCGTATTTCACAGTGTATATGTGCCACATTTTCTTTTCTTTTCTTTTTTTTTTTTTGCCACATTTTCTTTATCCAGTTGTGATAGACTATTTAAAATGCTGTGGCTTGAGATGCTGAGAAAGGGAAGATGGGGATGGACCAAAGGCTGGAGACCCACGCATGACATTGTCAGCGATGACCTAGAGAAAGTCCTCTCCCACAGGGAGCCACAGGTAATACCAGTTTGGATATTTTGCAGGTCAATTTTCTAAGAAGCAACCAGGATGATGTTTCTGTTCTATCTCTTAAGTTGGACCAACTTGGATCAAATATGTTTTTTAATTAAAAAAGCTATACAGCCGGGCGTGATGGCTCACACCTGTAATCCCAGCACTTTGGGAGACCAAGGCAGGTGGATCATGAGATCAAGAGATCGAGACCATCCTGGCCAACATGGTAAAACCCCATCTCTACTAAAAATACAAAAATTAGCTGGGCATGGTGACATGCGCCTGTAATCTCAGCTACTCAAGAAGCTGAGGCAGAAGAATCACTTCAACTTGGGAGGCGGAGGTTGCAGTGAGCTGAGATCGTGCCACGGCACTGCAGCCTGGTGAAAGAGTAAGACTCCATTTAAAAAAAAAAAACACCTATAGAAGTTTGTTGCTGAAAGTTAGAAAATGCCTATCATCAAAAACAAAGAAAATAGTTATTTTCTTAATCCTCTGAGGATTATGTAGTAACTTAGAACCATTTTTATGAAAGGCTTTGCATGAAATCTAGCAAGAATCATAAGAATATGAAGTTAGAAACCACAGTTAAATTTTGTAATTCCTTTTCAGATTAAGTAGAAGTGAAATTTATAAATTTCCTTCATTCAAGGAATTTCTAAACACAGGAAACTCAATGCATTTTACCATCCAAAAGTGTTTGACATGCATAAGGAAATGGAGCATGAGCTTATATTACGTATCAGTAAGTTCCACATTGGAATATTTTATCTAAAAGAAGCCTAACTTATGACATATGAATGTATGCCCCTTCTTTGAAACTTGCAATTACGCTTTAAATGATTGCTATGCCTAATGTAAATTCAATTAACTTCCTTTCTTCCATTGTTTCCAAAGAGCCCTTTTTCTCTTTGTATCTTTCATATAACTCTTCGGTGACACAAATGGAAAAATCCAGTTAACACATTATGAGCTATGATGTTCAAGGCAATGAACTAAATCAACTTCAAAAAAGTCAACCACTGAATAGGATTAAATCACATAGTTACGAAAATGCCGCATCTTATTAGACATTAGTGGTTTCAGTTGGTCCATTTCCCACCTAACTTGATACAGATGACAATGGGAGGAGGGTAAAGTCCATGACAGATGGTCTCCAGGGTGGCAAAGGGTGTCGGAAGGGGGGCTGGGGACTGGCTGCACAGCCTGCAAAGCAGCTCTTTCATCAGTGACAGCTACTCCATTCCAACTGTGCTTGGATTTCCACATTGGGTATTACAGGAAGTAAGGACGGAAGGGGCAAAAAATGTCATTCCATGGCTCATGTTTTGCCCCAATCCTGCCTTTTCCTCTCTCCGCTTTCTAGTTTAATTAACAATGTTTCCTATAACGGTGCAGAGCTGGGGATTTGGCAGCTGGGAGCTGGGGATGAAAGCAGACAATAGATACTCTTGTTCAGTAGGAACAATCTTTTAAGGGAAAAGAGTTGGAACTAGAGAGCATGAGTTCCTTAAGGTAGAAGGCTCCAAGATGATTCAAGAAGACAGGAGAGAAAAACGCACAGGGAGATAAGAAATGCCACCTCATAGTGTGTGATCAGCAAGAGGCTATGGTTTCCTTTCCCTCAAAGATACATGGGCAGCGTGAGACCTTCTTGCATAGGATGGGATTAAATGGAGGACAGCCGACTACTTTGAAAGATACCAGGTACTATGCTGCTGGGTTTGTCAAACAGAGATTGGTTGTGTGGCCAGTGACTGCCCGTTGGGGCACCAGAGAAGCAGATAAAGATCTCTGGGGCCAATCAGTTCATCTTCCTGATATGTGAACCCTAGCATGTGCTTGAATGCCTAATTTTCCTTAAGAGCAAAGGAGGTATTTTCCAGGAAGCTAGGGGAATCCACCAAAAGGATTTTAAAACATTCTATTAATAAATACCCATGAATGCTAACTATATATCAGGAAGAGTCCCGAGAAGACAAATACCCCGAGAAACCCATCCCATTTGTAACTATGGAGAACCTCAGGCGAGCAAGAAAGGACAGGAGAGTACAGGAGTTAGCTAACAAGCAGGCAGGGAAGGTTAACTTGGGGCCTTACTTTGGGGAGTCAAGACAGATCCGAGTCCATGTTTTGCCACTGACTCTCTTCTTGACCTCGGCCAAATTGCTTAACCTCTGAGTTTTGGCTCCCTCAACTGCAAAACTGGGTAAATCATGCCTTTTTTGTAGGGCTGGTGCATGTGAAGTGGCCTGTTGACACAGCCTCAAACGAGACCCTCACTGGTTATTGACAGACATAGCCTTCCAAGTGGTTTCACAGCAGGCTGTTTCAGTCCAGTCTCCGCAGTTCTCGGAGTGACTTTCTAAATCTCAGATCTCAGAGCCTCACCCGTGAGAATTCTGGATGCCCCTCGAGTCTACAAAACCACTGCTCTAGGAGTGATGCAAATGAAAATTCAGTTAAGGCATCATGAACTATACTATTGAGACAAAGAACCAAATCAACTCAAATGTAGCATCTTACGATATGTGGCCTCTGTCCCGCTGGTGACAGACACCCAGCAGAACATCAGTCTCTGTAGCACGAGTTTTATATAATACAGTTACCACCTAGATGATCTGCTCTAAATGCAGGCTCTCATTCCAAAAGAAAGGTGAAAACCATTAGCCTGAAAACTAGCTTAAACATAGTGTCATGTGCTTGCCACAGCCTACATCATTTGGCCCAAAGTATTAACCCAGACTCATTCCCCCTTCCTTTCATCTCCACATAACTGACCCATTGATCACTTGTAACTGTGCATTCAATGCTCTTGGCCTGGCATGTGTTCCTAAACCATCTTCACCTCATTCATTCCTATGCCTCTCTCAATACTTGTCTCAGTCCATGCCTTGCCTGTGTGTACAGGAGAGTCCTCAAGTATGAAAACCGTAATCATCTGTTTGCTTATGATCTTCTCTTCACCAACCAAGGCTGGAGGCTCCTTGTGGGGCAGAAGCCATGTCTTCTGCCTGTATCTGGTGCCTATTACCATGCTTAGTGCCTGGTATTGTGTCTGACACAAAGTAGATCCTCAGTAATTGTCTATTGCTTTAACCGAATGAAAAAAATACAGGTTGCAATGACTGATGTTTAGATGCATTTGTAAGCAGTTGACAAAACATGTTCAAAAGGTATTAACTAAGGGATTCTTTTTTAATTTTCAGGGAGGCTTCTAGTAGTGTGCTGCAGGGATATGGTGCCCTAGACTTGGTTGGCATCTTTATCAATGGCAATGACAAAAAGGGCATCCTCATTGAGTAAGTGAAGAATTGAAGGAGAGAAGGAAAGAAGGGAGAATGAATAGAGAGAACATTTGCTAAATGTGTAATTCCCACATAGAGTGTTGCATGTCACCTTTCCAACAACTGTACAGGACAGGTGCTATTCTCCCCATTTTATGAAGCGGGAAATTGAAGCTCTGAGAGGGTAATGAATAGACCCACAAGGACACAGCTGGTAAAGGCCGGACTTGAAATTTGAACCCACTCTATTACAAATTCTGTATGCAAAAGTTGAGCTATGATACTTATGAGATTGTGTCCTTTGATAAAACCCAAACCCCGCTAAATGTACCCATGCAAGATGGAGGGAAGATCATGTTTTGTCAACA